TTGTGAGAAAAAGTTTCTCCAGGCCAGGACAGAATTTCTGCTATAAATCAGAGACTCCTCAGAACAGTAAACAGATAAGTGATTAGGGCACTCACCCTCAAGTCCTTTTGTTTTGCCTAATTCAATCCTAATAACTGGGTTGTGTGGGTAAGTCTCTCTTTCTTTTTCCAAAAAAAACCCCCAACCTTTCAGAGTTCTAGGATTCAACTAGGGTTACCATATTTCTAAGTCCAAAAAAGAGGACACCTGTCATGCAGATGGGGTGGAAGGAGGTGCGGGGTGGCGGGAGGAATATGACAGTGGGAAGCAGTGACATGCCAGTGCCCTGCCTCTGCCCATTCTGTTGCCCCTCACTTCCACGCCACAGCCCCCCCACCCTCTGCCCTGCTGCTGCCCCTCACTCCCAAACTGCATTACTCTGCCCCCTGAGTCATGATGGTGCTCCTCACTCCTGACCCGCAGCACCCCCCCCCACCCCCACCCTGCTCTCTGCTAGTGCCCCTCACTCCTGACCTGCAGTCTTCTAGCTCTGCCAGTGCCCCACACTGCCAATCCACAGTCCCCTGGCCCTGGCTCCCCTTACTCCCAAGCCGCAGCCCACCCCACCAGCCCTGCCGGTGCCCTTCACTCCTGACCTGCAGCCCCTTGGCCCCCCAGCCCTGCCACAAGGGCCCCAGCTGTCCTTGTCCTGACCAGGCTGGAACGGCTGGCTCTGATTCATGCAGGCAGTGGCAGAGTGTGTCCCGTCCCAGCGCGGGCTATAGGGAAGAGGAGGGAAGACTTGTGGCACACCCCCACCATGGGCGGGAGCTCCTGTGCAGCGCCAGGCAGCCAGGCCACAGCCCCCTTCCTCCCCCCTCCTCCCAGGCAGCATCTTCTGGTCACTCAGCCCCTGCAAGCACAGGCACCAGCCCCTGTGCTACTGACCAGGCTACACAGTTCCCTGCTGCCCTCAAAGGGCCCCCTGCCCCCTTCCCCCACTGGAGGGGTAGGCCAGCCCCCTTGCCCTGATGCAGTCCCCGCACCCAGACAGCTTCTTCCAGCGTAAGCCAGCAACC